TGCCCCCTCTTACCTCCTGATAAGACACATTGTGTGGAGACACTCTGCACATGCTCAGTTTGGTGTGTATTGCTAATGAATTTTTTTTTTCTTGGGAGAGTGCATGTGATTAGCACAGGGCCAGTAAGCACTGCCCAGACAGAGGTCAGGGGTTCTACATCCCCCTAGAGCAGAAAGAAAACACCTCCTACAAGCTTTAACATATGCTTGACTGGACAATGATAGAAGTCACAAGACTGCTTTAACTGCTGACGAGAAAAGGTATTTAGCAGTTTATATTTACTAAAATATTTGCATTTCCATGTTCTGTGTACTGTGGGAGACCAGATATAGTGAATGCAGGGTCCTGGGTTTGGTAACACTTTAAGAACTAAGAGTATGCAGACTTTTGAACAGGGGTCATTTCATTTGTTTATTTGTTGCCATGTTTTGTTTTATGATTGTGCCATTCTGTTATGTTCTACAGTTGAATATGAATCCCATAAGGAAAAAATGAATTTTTTTTTAACTTTAAAAATGGGACATACTACTACCAATTCTTCAAGGGTATGCAAATTTTGAGCACAATTGTGTGTGTGTGTGTATGTGTATATGTATGTATGTATGTATGTATGTGTGTGTATATATATATATATATATATATATATATATGTATGTGTATATATATATATATATATATATATATATATATATATACATACACACAGTATATATCATAAATATAGGCATAAAGGCAAGTCCTTTTACATTTTTGGATATATACTGTGCAGTAGTTATATATTCCTAATTAGGTATTTCATATATGCAAATAATCAATTTCCAGTTGCTCCAAGTCAGTTCAAACGCAATAAAATCATACTAACAGTGAAACATGAAACAACCAGGTGCACTATAGCAGGGGTTAAAATTTCGAGTCCAGATCTACTAGCTGGTCACAAAACTTACTCTACCAGTTGCCCCACCCAACCTTGCCCAGGTCCGCCCCCAACCCCGCCCCTTAAAGCTTATGAAATTACATTTTTCTTTAGAATTAAGAGTCCAAAATATAAAAAAACTGTACACAGCAATGTATATCCCAGCTCCCCTGTACTCCATTATAGTGATATGACATGTATACAGTAATGTATATCCCAGCTCCCCTGTACTCCATTATAGTGATATGAAATGTATACAGTAATGTATATCCCAGCTCCCCTGTACTCCATTATAGTGATATGACATGTATACAGTAATGTATATCCCAGCTCCCTGTACTCCATTATAGTGATATGACATGTATACAGTAATGTATATCCCAGCTCCCCTGTACTCCATTATAGTGATATGACATGTACACAGTAATGTATATCCCAGCTCCCCTGTACTCCATTATAGTGATATGACATGTACACAGTAATGTATATCCCAGCTCCCCTGTACTCCATTATAGTGATATGACATGTACACAGTAATGTATATCCCAGCTCCCCTGTACTCCATTATAGTGATATGACATGTACACAGTAATGTATATCCCAGCTCCCCTGTACTCCATTATAGTGATATGACATGTATACAGTAATGTATATCCCAGCTCCCCTGTACTCCATTATAGTGATATGACATGTACACAGTAATGTATATCCCAGCTCCCCTGTACTCCATTATAATGATATGACATGTTGTATACAGTACTTACTCCTAGTCCCTCCGAGTCCCCCGCGGCAGTGGAGAGGGTGTCTCTTCTCAGTGGAGGAGAGCGGACCTCTCCTGCACCTGTCCCCTCAGCGTCGGTGCCGAAGAAGCCGGAAAACGGAAGTTGTAAACCGGAACTCGGCTTCACAATGAGGCTTGGAGCGGAGGTGCAGTCGCTCCATGCTTCATCTGTGCTCGCTGCTAGCCACTCGCACAGAGAGGAATTTCTCCTTGCATTTGGCGAGCGGGCGAGCGGCTTTTTCAAGCCCTGCACTATAGTATGCTAATTTGCAGGATGACTAATAAATTGATGGTAATTTGTGCAGTCCCTCTGGGAGCCCTCTCCGACCTATCCCTCCATACAGGGAAGACTGATAGCAGTCATTGGCTTCTGCTGCTATGAGTTAGCAGGTGACAGAGCTGAGTCGCACTGTGTGTGTCAATAAATGCACACGGTGCAGCTCAAGATCGAGCCCGCATGAAGCACCCTCCAGCTAGTGGTTCAAGTGGGGATTACCTTCCCTGGGAAAAGGCAGTCCAAACAGCAGGTTTTTTCTTAAAATTCTGACTTGTAGTCAGTTTTATTTAGGGGATTGCACATAAAACAAACAAAGTAAAACAGAAAATAAATCCTTGCCATCCAGGCACTAACTAAACAGGACAGAGTCATCTCTAACAGGTGAAGGGCTTCTCCCCATCACCAACAAAAAAATACAAGTGTTTTGCAAACCTTTTCCTTACAGAGCAATTTCCACATGTAGCTCCCTGAGTCCTAGGCCAGAGCAACCTCTTGTTCCAGCTCTTCCTTATTTATCTCACCTACTGCTGGTCACAAGTGGAAAGCAAAATCTGGTTCGCATCTCACTCTGCCAAGGTGACCTAGAAAATCCCAGCTGGATTCCACCTTAGGCTGCTTTCACACTGGTTCACCTCAAAAATGCTTGAAAAATGACTAGCATTTTTGGAGCATTTTTGAGCCATTTTTGAAGCATTTTTCAAGTGGAAAAGTAAAGAAAACATACTGGACTGTTGCTGGGTGTCTCTGAAAATATCAGTTGAGCTTGTCCCCTTTACAATAGTATGTACAGTATATTTGCTTCTAAAGAGTGCAGAGCAAAAGTTGTTTCCTTCTCGAATCAAGCTATAGAGAGGGGAAGTGAGGGGGATAATGCACTGAGGGGTAGTAAGGGGGGTATATCATGAACACTGCTGCCAGGCCCATCTACCTTACCAACCACTCAATGTCTGCTAACGCTCTCTGCCAATCCAGCCACTGGCTTCCAATTGCCAAGTGAATTAATTTCAAAATACTAGCAACAACATACAAATCTACAACTCTGCACCAAGCTACATCACCAATCTTGTCTCCAAATACCACCCAAACTACCCTCTCTGCCCCTCTCAAGATCTCCTGCTCTCTAGCTCCTTTATCTCCTCCTCCTCATGTTCATTTCCAGGACTTTTCCAGAGCCTCTCCCATTCTCAGAAACTCTCTCCCTCAATCTGTCTGGCTATCTCCTACTTTGGTTGCCTTTAGACGATCCGTGAAACCTCATTTCTTTAGGGAAGCCTATCAAACCTCCAGCTAACAACTGAAACTGACTTTTAACTCTTCCATCAGCTCACCCCCCACAGTTATAGCCTTTTGTACCACTTGCCCCGCCCTATTAGTTTGTAAGCTCTTATAAGCAGGGTCCTCCTAATCAGGGGTGGACTGACAACTCATGGGGCCCTCAGGCAATAGGGGACCATGGGGCCCCTGTGTCCTTGCCCAAACTCAAAAAGCCTATGAAAAAGGTACCAGGTTCATCTCATGGGGCCCCCTACTGACCCCGGGCCCTCGGTCAGTGCCCGAGTTTCCAAATGGTCAGTCCGCCCCTGCTCCTAATCCTTTTTATTTTTTTGTATTGGGGCTGTACTATTTCCATTTAGTTTGTAAAGTGTTGTGCAAACTGTTGGCACTATATAAATCCTGAATAATAAGTGCAAAATTTTAATCCTTTCAAATAGAAAATACAGCCCAATATTATTTACTCTATTATTGTTCCAATATGCAACTTGGCATCCCAAAGTAAAGCAAAACTATAGATATATACAAACTATCTAATGTATGGTCAGGGATACAGATTTGTTTGTAAACATATACTGTACATATTCAAATCATGAAAACTATTCAGCCGCAGAGAAATGTCTAGTAAGTAAAGCCCAGGGAACACATTATTGAAAATAAGCACTATTAAATTTACAACAAAATAATGGTTACTGTAATTGTATTGTACTACACATTGACTCACAATATCATTCATTCTAAAATTCTGCTTATAACAAATTTTATAACAGACTTTATGACTAAGTCCGATGACAAAACACGTAAAAGTGACGTCAGACACATGAGAACCGGAAGTGGGGTGGCGGCCATTTTACTAGTGGCAAAAGCACACCAAACAATCTGGAAACTGCAGATGATTGCTGAAAGGTCTGATATTACTGGACTATGCGGTTTTAAAGAGTGTATACTGTGAGTATACTGAATAAAGTTGTTACATGATACAGTGGCATTATTACACTATTATATTCCCCATATATTTTGGCAACTTGGTGGAGTATGGTGTAAGGAGGAGTATGGAGCTGACTTGCTGATGGATCCTGAGGACAGAAGGAGAGAGGGATAACCATAAGGATCCTATTTGGGGGCTATAGAAACTTCCATTGCTATTTGGATAAGGCATAATTATTTTATTGCTCTGGTAAGGGTATTTATTCCTTACTTTAATAGAAGTGAACACGGTTTTTCACTTGTGTGGCACAACGCATGATTCACTAATACACTTGCACTCTAATCAATGTAGAGGATTCACAAGTGTGTTCATTTGTGGAGTGCATTCATTTATAGTTTATTTTTGTAAAAGGATAATGCACTATGTATTTTTTCTTTTCTTTTTTGGTGATTTTGATCGTGCAAGCCTGTGGGAGGCTTGCATATTGAGATTACTGTGTGGATTCACATATGACAACTACAAACACTGGGGTTATAGTTTTGGACTTTGGAATTTTGGACATAATTTTGATTTTTGATTTTTTTTTTAATTTGTATTATTTATATTGAGTGTCAATTTGTGATTATTAATTTAACAACTTCAAGGGTGAAGGTGGATTTTTGCTACTGAGGTATATTTATTTATATTTAGTATATTGCTAGTGGTTTGGAGTGGTATCTATAACAAATTGAGGCTATTAATGAAGTGATTTGAAATCTAATCTTGAGCATATAAAAGCACATTACATTTTTATCCTTCTATACATTGACACTATACATTTTCTCTTACCTGCAGCACCAGTCTGTATCGCTGGCTGATTGTTTGCGGAGAGGGGAACAGACTGGCCTAGCTCATAAACCTTACACATGTCATTGTGGAGAAGCTCCAAGCTACTGGAAAACTGGACCCACAGGCGCTCTAACTCCATGCGGTCTTCTTTGCTCAGTTGTTTATTCCGAAGAGCAGATGTCAGTTTGCTCCTGTTTCCTATTGCCAGCTCCTGGGCCTTCTCTCTGGTGCGTCTCAATTCATCACGAAGACGTTTACTGTCAGAGGAGCCTCCGACAGAGACTGCCAGGTGTCTGTAGCATGCCACCACCTTCCCATCAATACATAAAAAAAGAAGGAATATAAAATGATATCTTTTATACTTATAAAAAATAACAGTCATTCTTTGTGACATTTTCAAAAAAAATTTTGTAGAAAAAATATCTTCGCAATGCCTAGCTCTTGGGGAAGGAAGAGAAGAGCACACCTAAACAGTGACAAGGCCTATATGTGCTAGTATGATTCATATGGAGTAATTTTAGATATTGTGTGTGACCCCGCTATCTGCACCTCTTAGTAAGCCACTGTCCACCTTGGAGGTACCATTACCAAAGCTGGTTTAAACTCTGTGCCAACCTTATGCATTCGGGCAGCGTGAAGGGTGAGTGGTTCAAATATGCTCTGCCACTTTATTTTAAATGGAAAAAATACAGCATTTACTGAGTATAACATTAACATGAGTCATCAGTTTTATGAATAAATCAGGCAATTCCTATTTTTAAGTTCAGTAAGCCATCATGGAAAGTTCGCAACATTTGAAACAAAGAAAATCACCTTTTAGATGATGTATAACACATTCCAGACATTTATATTAAGGTGATGTTAAAGATGATTAAAAAAAAATAAAATAAGATAGAGGTTATACTTACCTGCTCTGCGCAATAAAATTGCACAGAGCAGTCCCCTACCTGTTCTTTGAGGGTCACCTCCTGGCACTATTCACTCCTTCCTATGGATGCCCCTAAAGCAAGCCATGCGCTATGGGGGCACTCATATAGGCACACTCCAGGCTGTGTGTGCTCTGTTCACAGACACACACAGCGCCTATAAGCCATGACCTCTTCTCCCTCCTTACAGGGGTTTTACTGACATCAGCAGGAGGCTATGACTCCGCTAGCCTCAGTGTCTCCTGTGAGGCCAGGAAGAAAGGAGAGCATTGTCTTGTATTGAGCTGTATTGTTGCTGTATTGTCTCCCGTTATATTGTAAAGCGCTGAGCAAACTATTGGCGCTATATAAATCCTGTATAATAATAATTGTTGAAGCGAGGACAGTGCTAGAGCAGTGAGCAGAGCGAGGTGTTTGGAGAGGGGATATTAAGTGGGGCATTTTTTACCTTTTAATATGCTGCAAAAACAATAGTGATCAATCAATTTAAAATAAGTCCTGTTGTTTTGTGCCATGAAAATAATGAAAGATAAAAGGCAGTTTAAGCCCCATACCTGATAAGCATCTCTATTTTATTGAAAATATCTGTTCTTGATAATCACTATTTGTTCCAACAAATAAAAGACTGTTGACATTTGTACCTTTTTTATTAGTACAGTTCATTTTTTTGCCATTTTGAGCCAGACTAACAATTTAATGTCTTGATCCTGTGTGGCACCAAGAGATATCATCATCCAAGACTTTACAGAGGTAGAAGTAACTGAAAGTGTTGGAAAACCTTGTTTGATCACCTTTGTTTACCAACGATAAGCGAATGCAGGATGTATCTACAGCACAATTTCCTCTTCTTTCTCTACAGGCTACAAGTGTTATGCAACTGTATACATTTAGGGGCCTGAAAGCCATTGCTCGCCTTGACAGTGATTGGATCATGTTTGCATGACTGCTTATACTTTATTGTTTATGGCAGCCCTATAGAGAAACTCCTTGAATAATACATTTTTAAAATATACATTGGATCAGCATGGTTACCTGTAATTATCAATATGTCATATCCAGAAGGCTGCAGGAAAGTCTCAAAATTACATACAGCAAGCATTTGCTTGCTCTGGGGAAGCTAAAACATTTCCCCTCTAGTACAGTCAAGATGAAGAGTCGCTTGCTTGGCACCTCATGCATTCAGAAAACATGTTGTATTCATTTCAATTGATACAAGGTGTCTTCTGATTGGACCAGGGTAGATCGTAATGTCATTAGCCCCTTCTCTCCACCTCTTCCAATCAAAGAAAGCATTGTAATCATTAAAACTAATAGAAGAAGTTTTCTGAAAAGAGCTAGCAGCTCTCTGTCTTCACTGTATCAGAAGGGAAGTAGCTCCAGCACTGCCGAAATCGGAAAGCGCTTCCTTATACGTTGCACAGAGTACTACGATGATTTTGAGACTCACCTGAAGCCCTTCGTATGTAATATATTGATAATTACAGCTATCCAAGCTGGCCCAATGTAAATTTAAAAAAGATAGACAGATTTCAGCTTTAAATCTTTCTAAAACAGAGATCAATGTAAACACACTCCAAGAGATAGACAAACAAAACCAGCGCTCCAATCTTCATGCAAACCAAGGAATTGCCAAAATGCCAATCGAAGAGGTGCTGCCTTTCTGAGATTGGGAAATCTGGCCACTGGTAAATGAAAACAAACAAGGGCGCACTCTCATCGTGCATTACCGTGGTATACCATGTAATTTATTAGATAAAAAAGGATGTATACTCACAAACCAACATGATTATAGGCAGTATGGGTGATCCACAAAGACAGTCACAATACAACTGTGTCTAATGATGCGGATAAGCTGACGTGTTTTTGGGGGCTGAACCCCCTTCCTCAGAGCTCTGAGGAGTATTGTGACTGTCTTTGTGGATCACCCATACTGCCTATAATCATGTTGGTTTGTCAGTATACATCCTTTTTATCTAATAAATTACATGGTATACCACGGTAATGCACGATGAGAGTGTGCCCTTGTTTGTTTTCATTTACAGATCAATGTAAGCATTTATTGCATACTTACCAACATTTCCCCATGTCAAAGTTAGCCCTGCCCACAGTCCACCTTAGGCCTGCCCAGTGACTGGGAGACTCTGCACAGTAACCAGATTGTCCCATCCAGACCTTGCCCACTTACTGAAAAGGCCTGTCCAAACCCTGTCTCTAATTATGCAGGGACCTCCCCCTTGCAGACCCCAATCACCATAATGAATGCCTTTTTTGAGATACTGTGCATGTGCCCTAACATAAAGGGGAACGTTTGGGAGCAAAAATTGCAAACAGACAGGACTTTGAATGGAGAGGAGGCATAGCATATCTCTTCTGCATTAAAGATTCTTACCTGCCTGTATGCCTTCTACACTGAGCTGTGCACGTACATGTGAGAGGGTAACGTCATCTCAGCCTGGCCACTGAAAATGGCAGAAAATTGGTACCCAGGAGCCGACTGGTCGGAGATGTCCATGGCCGGTGTGGAGCTGAGGGACATGGCAGTGCTGTAGAGAATAGAGCTGAGTATAGTTCTGCTTTAAAAAGGATGACAGTGAGATCCTGGGACATTGTCTAGGACACAGCATCGTCGGGACTGGAGACCAAAATGCGGCACTGTCATGGCTACTTTTGGACAGTTGACATTTACAGTATGTTCCTGAATAGCAAGAAAAGTCAGCCCTTTATTAAATACAATAAAGCATGTGTTGCTGAAGCATTTGTGGATATATATATATATATATATATATATATATATATATATATATAGCGACAGTCACATAATGTAGTGATAAATTGATTTTGTCACTCAGTAAAATCAAAGCAAAAAAGAGCAAATATATGTCTGTGCTGGTAGCATATTCTTATACTTCATGCAGTGAAACTGATGCTCCTCACAGTCTTACACCTACACACATAATCCTACTATATCTATTCTTATCCTACTACACTCTCCTCTTCCATGGATCCCATTTAGTATGCAGCACATATCCTTGTAATGACCTTCAGCAGTAGACATAGCACAACTAACAGAATACAAAATGGCTGCACAATATTCTAGAAATGTATCAGAATCAAGCAGAACGATTTATAGAGGTGGCTTGAATGTGAATATGAAGAACAAGTACAATAATTAAAACAAGAAAAATGCACTGTATTAGCTGTATTTAATATGGCTTGCAAAAAGTCAGCTGCAGCTGAATTTACAGCACATTGCTCTTAGTAAATATGACCTTAGTATTAGTAAGAAGTAACAGATAAGAATATGTACCTTAGTCAGTGCTTCCACCACTGCGGAGCATTCTTCTCTGACTTTCAGGGAGTTTATGCATGCTTCATTGCCTACCTTGTTATTTTGGATAGGCATTTGGGCTCCTTTTTTCCTGGGAAGCCTCCAAAATTAGGATCTCTGCAGTCTATCAAGTTGCATGTTGTTCTTGATCTTCAGTACTTGAGTTTGCCATGTTTAGCATTTGAAGAAATTCTAAATCACTCTTTAGTCCATTGAAGAGAATGATTTAGTAAATGTTCACCAATAAAACACAGAAAAAAAAAACGTAGAGGAAGCTTTCCTGTATTCACCACCAAAACAAGCATTAACAAGAAGAGTGCTGAGAAGTAATCCGAGGGATTATGAAAGGAGGTCCTAACCCCGTGTGAAATGATAAGGCCTTTGTAAGCTCTTTATCCTAGACTCTTAGCACTGGAGGAATTCTTATGCTCAAGTCTCTAAATTCAGAATTAAAAAATATGTCTGTCACATCTTCTGGAAACTTGATTAAAAAAGGAGACTAAAATTTGAAGAACTACTCATTAAAAAAATGAGTCTGCTCTAATTAATATGTAGGATATTATTTTAAAGGATAAGTGAAAATTCATGTAAAGTAGATTTATCCTGGCTGCCAAACCTCTAAAGCAGTGGTTCTCAACCTGTGGGTCACGACCCCTTTGAGGATCGAATGACCCTTTCACAGGGGTCGCCTAAGACCATCGGAAAACACATATTTCCGATGTGTAAAGAGCAGCTACTGTGTAGAAAGCAGCTGCTGTGTTGAAAGCAGCTACTCTCTTGAAAGCAGCTACTGTGTTGAAAGTAGCAGTATTGGAGGTAAAATGACACTTCATGAATTATAATTACTTGGTAAATAATTTTATGGTTGGGGGTCACCAC